TTGACATCCCCAATGGATATATTTCTTACAGACGTCTCAATCGCCCTTTGTGAGAAATTAATTCCTTTCGTTGAGACCTTTCATTAGAGTACCATGAAGGATAAAACTAGTTCCAATCCCCCCCCCTCTCCCCTCCCCCCGTACTTTGATAAGAGGACAGAAAGAAAGATAATAGTTGACGGTTCCTTTCGTTGAGACCTTTAATTAGAATACAATGAGAGATAACATTAATTTTTAACACCCCCCCCCCCCCCCCCGCCCCCCCAATAATCCCTTCCCTCAGACCCTGTCGCTCACTGATCTCGAAAAAGAGTCGCACAGGAAAGTTATAGTTTGTACAAACCAATTTTTATTTCGATGAGACCTTTCATTAGAATACCATCAAGAGTAGAACGTGTGTTTACCCCCCCCCCCCCCCATTTCATAAATGTTAACTTTACACCACTAAAGGCATGCGTATGCATAGTCTGCATTTCCTTTCTTCTTCTTCCCTGCACTTCTCCATTCCTCTCTCCTCGTTTTCGTTTCTAAACTTTGCGATTAGTTTGATGGTTTTCCTTTGCAATCGATCGTACCTCTCCCTTTTCTGAATTCCATTTGTGTTTCCTCCAACATGCTCTTCTTTTTATAACCATGTATTCACCACCATTGCGTTCTGTACGCAGTAGTCATTATCGTGGTTCAACCTATAATTTTCAACCGATCATCTCTTTTGTGAATAGGCACTGTTACCCCTTCCTTCCATTCTCGGGTAGTCCCCCTCCATTCCATATCATGCTTATTAGTTTCCTCAGCTACTCTTGAATTTCATCTCTTCCTGCCTTTTCCCTTTCTTCAGTCTTTTTAATTGCTGCTCAATCTCTTCTTTTGCTATCCTATCCTATTTTTCCACCTCATGTCTTCCATCTTCCTCTGTCACTTCCTCTTTCTTCTGATTTTCCTGTGCTACCTTCATAAAGTGCTGCTGCTAGTCCTCTATTTGTATTTCACTCCCACTTATTATATTTTTCTCTTTGGATCTGTTTTTCATCTTTCAAAAATCCTCTGTTTTTATTTCCCTGATTTCTTCTTCATATTCTTTCTGTTTCTTCATTTTTTTTCCTTAAATTTTTGTACCTTCTTTCTCCTCTACGACTACCTTTTTCTTTCTCCGCCATTGTTCTGTATCTGTTTCTCTGTTCTATGTCTATGTCTCACCCCTCTTTCATATTTTTCCATTCATCATTTTTTCTCCTATTTCTTTTTCTTGTTCTTCTAGTCTCCACATTGCCTCTTGTCCATTTTATCTCTCATCGACTTTGCAACTTCCCATTTCTTCATCTTTTTATGTTTCATTTGAGACACATTTCTATTAGATAGTGATCCGATCTCGGATCCGATTCTATCCTTATTACTACCTTACATTCTTCTATTTCTTTCAGTATTTTTTCGTTTACTGGTATGTAATTATCTAATCAATTACCGGCCTACTTCTTTCTCCCGTGTTTGTGAATTTCATGTATCTATCTCATATTTCAGTATAATATTCTCCATCCTCTATTTTCTGATTATTCGCGTAAAACTTCTCTCTCTTTGTTGCATTCTTTATCTCTTGATTTTCCATCTTGTGTTGCTTTTCCCATCTCTGCTCATTTTCCTTTATTTTTTGTTCTAGCATTTAAATCTCCCCCCAATATTAGCCCCTTCCCCGTTTCATCTACCATATTTTTTATTTTATTTTTTGTCTCTTTCATTCCTTCTCTGGTGTATATAGTTATCACTCTCATTTTCTTGTGCTTTACTTCTACTCGTCTTTTCTAAATGCCTTCTCTACTTCTTTCATTTCATCCTCAATTCCCTTATCTCTTTCTTTGCCCCTGTTAATATTTCAATTAATAGATATTTATTATATAAGACGATAAAGGGATGTTTTAACGACCGAGTGACCGAGATGGTTAGTTTCCCTCTATCGTGGTGTATAATGCAAAACTTTATTTTATAGCAGAATCCATAGAAATCATTACGAAACTTCTGAAAAGTTTGTAGGTATTTAATTTAGACGTCAAAAATAGCAAGCTTAGGTATTCTCGTCGTTTCCATGGAAACAATATTGTATTCTGTTCTGAACTTCATTTTATTTCGTGCTCTGCGTCCCTTTTTTAATAATGACATGTCATTGGAATGCACAATGATTTGTCTCACTTTCTCTCTCTCTCTCTCTCTCTGTTAAACAGTACTGAAAGTTTTTAAGGATCCTTAAGGAATGAAAAAGGCTTGTTTCTTGAGAAGACTCTAAAAGCCCTGGATGCCTCGGAAGTAAATTTTATCACATTGTCATTGTGCATTTTGACCAGATTATTTATAGAGTGAGGGACTAGCACATGGAACAAATTCATTTAAAAATCAGGTGTTGGGATTTTTAAAAAATGCTCGCACACGTCTATCATACTCTTTTCTTGTGCATTTTTTGCAACAAAGAGGAAATACACAGGACGCGTCAAAAAGTACGTGTTGATACTATAGTTCGTTTTTTAAATGGTACAGTATTTTTAAAAATTCATTTTCGACTTATATTTTTATTAGTATGCGTAGAATTTGACACCAACTTTAGCATCAGAATCTACTTTTTGACGCACCCTGCATATTTTCTCTTTAATGCAAAAAATGCACAAGAAAAAATTATGAGAGACGTGTGTCAGTAAACCCAACACCTGATGATGTTTAAATAAATTTGTTCCATATTTTAGCCGCTCACTGTAAAACAATTTCGAAGGAAATTACATAATAGAGCAGTAAATAAATTGATCCTTAATTCGTAAACTGTTACTTTTATTTAGAAACAAAATTTTCGCTTCTTAATTACTAAATGAAATCCAGGTAAACTAACACATTACATTTCTAAATTGGAAACTTACTCACACGTGCCATGTAGGTACACGCAATTCCAATAATAATGAAATTAAAACTGGCGCCGGTTTCGATCAGCCGTGAAGCTCGTCAACGTTATCATATTTACCTACATTACGCGTCCGTATCATGTAATTTACAGCAGTTCGAGTAATAAACCAAATAAGGTTCTCCATCAACTAACAAGCATTTTCGTTACTCCAGAGAGCTAATTTTCAGCTGTTTTTATCACCTAAACCGCAGGAAAAACAGTGGAAGTTAACACAAAATTTTGATTTTTCAGAATTGTAGAGAACTTACGATATAAATATCATAAATATTTTAGGACTAAAAAACGCTTCCCAGTGGTTCTAACGAAATGAATGTAAAATTTTTGCGGAATATAGAACATTTGATTTTAGTAATTTCGTGTGAGGTAGTTATCCTAAAGAGCTTCGAGAAATTATAGAGTAGTAGGAGATAACGGTGGTGGAATGGTGCCGGTGGATATAAAAGATTAGGAAGTAATAAGTACATTGTATTTGCTTGCTGCTACCCACCATAAACCCATTGAATTTGGTCGAGTGATTAATACTCGTTTGAAAATGTCTCTTAACGATTTATATCTGATATCAGGCTGATGCTCTTTGAAATAAAGTTTGAGTATTTCTTTTTAGAACCAATACATACTTGGTTGGACGTTCTATATTTTAGAAGTACACAATTCAACAATGATTACATTTAACTTAAATGGAGCGGAATAGATGAATCGTTGAATTGAAAGCAACATTCAAAAGGAACATCTGTGAAATGGAAGTGAAAATAGCATTTTACTCTTTTTGAACAAATTATTCATGTTCTGAATAATCTAGAAAAAGTCTCATTACCGTCTAAACGTCGTACTTCTATTTCGAAGTGGTTGCACGCAAACGTATGTTTTCAATGGTTAAAAGTCTACCTAAAGCCAAACAAAAACCCCAAAGCAAACCTAAACTAGTGTCACGAAATGTGTTTGCCTTATTGAATTATGCAGCGGCTTATAAATTAGTTGGTTTTATTGGGGGTTTTGACCTTTTTCGTTACAAATTGTAAGCCATAATTCTACTCTATTTTATTAGATTTAGAGACGCAAGCGGAAGAAAAAATTTCCCTTGACGCTTTTATAATACGTTATGTCAATAGTGACGGTAATTTAATCTCCTTCCTTGTCTCGGATATAAATCGGAGGTAATTTCATTACTCTAAATGGTTTTGTCAATATTTCAGTCCACGTATTTTTGAAAATAATTGCACAGCTCTTTCTAGTTCGCCCGCTTGTATTAATATAGTGTGTTAGACATAATGATAGTTCTCGAGCCTAAAAAAGAGGGTTGTATATTTATAGAATGTTTAGCATGTGCGAAACGATACATTTTGTTATGGATTCTCGATTTTTCCGACACCTCGTTTTTATCGTAACCGAAATATCTACCGTATTTACTATTTTGTGTGTTATGATAATCCCCATGATGAGTGAGTAATGTGTTGAGGATGTTGGTGGTCAGTAATCCCATCCTGTCTTCAAATATTTTTATTCATCATATGGACAAATCTAATGTGGGCCTATTTTTCGATCTGAATGAGTAGGTATCCATATATAGGTAAATTAGAACTTGATGTACATTCTTATCTCCCATAACGCTATTTTTCGCCTTAGCGAGCAACCTCAGAGTAAGCTTTATTTCTTACTGTGAGCGAGCAACAATGCCTGCAGGTAACATCGTAGAGGGGTGAAAAATATATTGCACTGCAAATCTCACCGTGTCAATATAAGAATTTTTTTCTGTAAAACCCCTCTGATAGCACATGCACATCGTTGACACAGAACCGTAACATGTTTTTTTTAATAAAACCCCATCCTGTACTTTGACAATTTCGTGGTCATTCTACACTCGATTTACCTAATTACGTAAGCTTCATTTATGTACCTCACTAATTTTGTATTATTTATATGATAATCGTATACTTCTGGATAAAATTCTGTTTTAATACAGCTCTGTGTACAATAAATGCGTTATCACAGACTTTGGGTCGGGACTTCCTCCCCATGAACAAGCTTCTAGTATGTTCTCTTAACTGAGTAAATCTTATCGTACGCTCTTCTTGCTTACAGTAAATAAGTAAACTATTATAATAATAAGAACGTTTACGTTAACAAGCGTTTTAAGTGATATGTAGGTGGATTTATTATAATAATTAGGTCGCGTGTAGAGTGTCATATATACGTTTAATTTTGGTAAAACAGTTCTAAGATACAATTTCACAGAAGCACGTATGTTTATAATGTCATTCTGTTCCCTTTAATATTTAGTAAACGTTTCAATGGATAAAGAAGACGGGTACGAATCGAATGGATGGGAAGGTAAGGTTTATTATAAACTAAGAAATTGGCGCAAATTTTGGTTTTAACATTGCATTATTTTTTGTTGAAACTTGCAAAATAAATAATTGCCTCAAATTCTCTCCATGTCATACCGTGCTTTTGATTGGCTGCTATTGATTGCTAGAGTTCCACCTTTTTATTTAATTTTGTAGGTACTCAAGAAATCAAGTGGTAATTCTTTTTCGTTTTGCTTGAAATAAATAATTAAGAATGCCAGAATATTGTCAACTAAAATGTATGACAAAAGTGTATACTGTATACTCAGTGGTGCATTTCCCAAGCCCACAGACCTACGGAATGGGATTTCGAAATCTAATGTCATGTTACTCACGAAGAAATAATCGCGAAAGTTTGTTCCGGCAATGTGCTGACGATTAGCAGATGATGATTACTGCTGATATGCTAGAGAATATTGATTATTCAAAAGTTAGTAGAAAAACGTCTTTTTAAAATAATTTTAAGCCAAAGCAGGCGGAGGGAGACACCCACTAAGGCCCCATGTTTAAATAATTCTTCCTGTCTATTGTTTCCAATAAGCCATACACATATATGCAAGAAATGAAGAGATTTTTAATTTCTTCAGTTACAGTGTATTCATTATTACAATTCTGTCAACTATAGCGATATGCGGTTTTTGTGTATTCAATTTTAAAGTTTTAATTAGGTATAGAGAAAACTCCTAGGGATACGATCAAAGTAATTTAATAAAGGAGTGGTCGAAGAGCTTTTAACCAATCTCATCAAATAGCCCATCCCTACCATAACCTCGCTCTGACCAAAGAGTATTACTCTTTGCTCTGACGGAATGAAGAAGGCGATGTGAAGTCAAAATGCTTGTGTAATGGAAGCTGCAATTTTGGGTACCATATACATACAATTCAATACGACTTGATTACTTGATACAAGAAAATAGTATAATAGCAGAAGGTAGAGGGGGTCTGATGATAAGCTGAGTCCATATATGAGAACGTGGTACAAATATACAGTGCGTTTGAGATAAGAGGTGCCCTCTTAATATCTCTTTTATTGGGGAACACGAAACATTTGTTAAATATAATTTTATATGTGGCATTACTATCTATCTGATCGCATATTCAAACTGTCTGGTGAATTTAACGATAACATGAAAGTCTCAATTCTAAATCTGAAAATGGTTATAGCTTCAAATTCATGAAATTTCCAACGATGCAGAATGGAATCAAAGAAAATCTTTTTTAAACACGTTTTTTATTAGGTCCTATTGCGGCTATCGATTTCGACCTTATAAGGTCATCTTCAGGCCGACCATCATGCTCGTATGACGCTCGGCCTGAAGATGACCTTATAAGGTCGAAATCGATAGCCGCAATAGGACCTAATCAAAAACGTGTTTAAAAAAGATTTTCTTTGATTCCATTCTGCATCACACAACACGTTTAAAATAAAGAACGATGGAACAATACATCAATCAAATTTCCAACGGCCTGCGACTTGCTCTGTTTTGGTTGTGATTTACGAGCATATACAGTCTGTTTCAAATTAACTCGGTACTATTGCTAAATTTCTTAGTTGTAGAGAAAGAAAGACGGTTAACAAAAATTGTGTACTTTTGTCTACTGAATCCAAATCCGTAATTAAAAAAAACAAAACGACATTACATTTTTCAGATAATATCAAAAATGTAACTTTTTTATATGGAACACCCTGTACATTATTTCATTATACGATAGGTTATTAAATTCTCTACAAAAGTTCTTAATGCACCATTCCCAAAATACTTCAAATCACCAAGATCTTTCAATTATTTTCATTTCCATCTAGTTATCCATGATAATGATAAAATACATAATAGTATTTAAAACAATAATTGGAACAAGGGCTTACCCTGTATATTATTACATAATATGAAAGCTTATTAAATATATCAATGAAATCTTTGAGGAGATTTTATTTTGCGCACGCGCACAGCCACATGTCGTACGGTCTAATTATCTGGGGCATGGCTTCGGATTGTCAGCGAATCTTGCTCCTACAGAAACACAGTTTTAAGAAGAATATCATTCGCTAGTAGTATTGAGCATTGCAAACCGTTATTTGTTAGACATAAAATTATGACAGTTTTTTCGGCATTCATATACAAGTGTATACTGCATACTTATACAAATTTACATACGTTTAAGAAAAATTCGCATTTCAATAAAGGTATGTCAACTAGGTACGCTGAAAAACTCAGCACACCATATCATCGCACTGCTCATTTTGAAAAAAACCCTATATACATATGTACCCAAATATTTAATCACATACCGGATAGCTTGAGATTGAAGAAAAACGAAGATATGAACTTATACAAAAAAAGATTAAAATCATACTTTCACGCATTGCCTTTATATTCATTTAACGAGTTCTTTAACCTTAAGCTTTCCGTTTAAGCTTTCTAATTAAAAATTTAAAAAAAATGTACAATTAGTTATTAGTTAAGCTAGAATGTAGATCAAACATTGACATGTTCTATAATGGGAAACCATTCAAAAGAATAAAGATGGATTATTATTATTATTATTATTATTATTGTCGGTGTTTCTTGTGAGAACTCAGGTCTAGCCTGGTTAACTAATCGCACGGATTAAAATCAAGTAACGATTAGTGTCTGTGTCTGGTGAAGTTATGTAGGGTTCTAAAGAAAAATAAAAAATAAAATAAATATTCACACACTCACATTGGAAATCTAGAGATAGTATGTAATTCATACTTACCAACATAGCTATTAATGGCCACAATAGTCAACGCTATCAGGAAAGAAGAAAACAAAACAAAAATATCATTATAATAATTTCTGTACTTTTATTAAATAGAGTTTATTGTGTAAGTGTTTCTTTGCCTTTGCGTTTGGGTTGTATACGAGTGGGTTGTGATAACGTGGTGTGTTTATGTGAAGAAGGAGTTTTGTGTTTTTTAACTGTGCTAAGACGTGTAACTTTATTCAGTGGACCTGTCTTTGTGGTATATGTTGCCTTACTTGTATTTATGGTGTTTCTTTGTTCTTGAGGTTGTATTTGTGTGGTTGCTTGGGTTTTTGGTGGAGATATTACATTATGTTGTGAGCATGTTGTTCTGTTAAGGTTTTCGCGTTTCGGTTGAATACGAGTGGGTTGTGATAATGTGGTGTGTTTCTGTGAAGAAGGAGTATTTTGTTTTTTAACTGTGCTAGGACGTGTAACTTTATTGGGTGGACCTGTCTTTGTAGTGCAAGTTGCGTTACTTGTATTTATGATGTTATTATTATTATTATTATTATTATTAAATAATTTACAGAATGTCCCATATACAAAAGTTACATTGACATGATCGGAAAAATGTGTGTGTGTTTTATTTTTTTTTAATTGCAGATTTAATTCAGTAGAAAAAAATACACAATTGTGATAAATTTCACAGTCTTTCTAACTCTACAACTAAGAAAGTTAGTAATAGTGCAGACTTAATTTGAAACAAGCTGGATAGAGGTTACCTATACCGGGTGATGCACGGTAAGTAGGAACATAGGGATTTTAACATGGGAAATTAGTTTTATGCAATATCCTGCCCTCCTGTACATTTTACAGAAAAAACTACAGTTTGAAGTTATTCAAAATTAAAAGGTGCATACAAAACTGTTTTTACATGTTTTATTAAGCTTTTGATATACCCTCAAATTTAGAAATAAATTTCAAATGCCCCCCTTGACCATGCAGAAGTACGTTCTGACTACAAATTTAATATTAATATTATTATAGTTTATTCATATTAATTTTTATAATTTTGGATACCATAAAAATCTTCTTTAAAAAATGTTGTTTTGAAGATATATACAGGGTGAACATTTTGTCTGGAACCCTATATGGTTCACGCGAAGGGTGATTACTCCGTAACCGATTTTTCATGAATTCTCATGCGTGATTCAGATCTACATATCGTCCCGTGCCACTTTCTCAATTTTGCAATTTTTGAATTTTTCTGCAATTTCGTGAATTTTTTTAATGTTTCTGAATTTCTTGGTTTATTGAATTGAATTGTCGAAGTTGTTTGGAATATTACTTACCTCATAGTTTCCGTTTTTGTAGCGTTTCAATTTCAATCAACAATGTGTCCGAACTAGTGCCGCGGAATATAGTTACATACTACAAACGACAGCGTATTTTGTGAATTTGGGTTCCTTACTACGACAAAAGTTAATAATTAAAATAAAAGAATAAAAGCCGCCAAAGTTTCCCTAGTTTCATAACGAAAATGTTATCTTTTTACTTTGTTACATGTAGGTACGTCAGAGATGAGTAAGAAGCATTCCTCAATCATATAGTAGACTATTAACGTTTCTCTATTTTAATTTGGGAGTCATAAAGCGAAATTTTTAATTGAAGCATTGTGTATTCAGACTTGCATCATAAATAATGTCAGTGACACCCCGATTTTAATACAGAAGGGTTTTCGTCATCGTAGTGGGATTGCAAAAGCAGAAACAGGAAAATTTCGCCACAGTGTAAGCTTACTTCCTATACCAGATTGTCTATTTTTATTTAATTGGTTCATTTAATCGAGTCGCGAATTGTATTGTGACTAATATTTATTTTCGCTTGTAGTCAATGTAGTTAATGTAATTATAAAGTGTTATACTATTTAACGGATTATTATCCATGTCGTATAGGAACAGTATTTGAGTAAGTATAATTTTATGTATACAATTTGTAAGTGAAGGTACCAAAGTAAACTTCAGTACTCAACAACCCTCAAAAATAAATAGAAATGTTAGTAGGAACACTCGTTTGCATTCCTATGTCAAAATCAAATCATTTACATTACTCCTACATATACAAGCTTTGTTATGGTGTAAATACTGATCGGTACGTAAAATAAAAATGCAATTACCTCGGTAAATAATTTCCCGTTTTGGTGGATAAAAAATTCTTTCCGTAACTGCTGTACATTAAAAAATATAAAATTGAAAATCTGAATAAAACAGAATAATTCGCTATACGCTATACCTGCCTTTCTTCTAAATTTGCATTCTCAAGTTCCTCTCAATTGTAGTTTACATTCCAAGAAATCTCCATTTATTAATACAGAGGAAAGATATGGGAAACTCGGACTCAGTTATCCAAACAAGTATGCATGCAATTTTGGGAATTGTGTTGAACATCCTTTCGCTTCATTGCTTGTGCTTTTTGTGGATCGCTAATTTACTTTCATTATTTAATTTATAATGATAAAGTGATCGATAGTTGGTAATGAAAAATTTTACAGGAATAGACATGCAAATCGAAAAACCGAAATGTTAAATGGAATGTAACGTACTCGGATACTCTATTTATGATACAATCGTAATAATATCAATTCCTGATGTACCTGCATATTAATTAATGTGTACCTACTACTAAATCGGAACTAAATAATCTTATTAATTCAAGGTGCGCATTTTCTAAAATTCTTAATGAATGATGAATCCCGAATAAAATTGATTGTTAATACTTTGAGTTAATTACATGAACCACTAAAAAGAATCTGCTAATTTGTATACGGCTTTCAAAACGGATCATCGAATGTAATTTATAGATTATAGCTTTACTAAGCAAATGAAAAATTCCAATACGTCAATTTACATATGTAGCTTAGGGGAGGGAGTATTTGGGGGAGGGGAGGTGTATATTAATTATAATTTTAAAGTGGAAGTACTTGGAGGTGCAGGGGGAAATGTTAAAACTAAGGTAAACTCTTCATTACTGTACGTACATAAATTGTCCATGTCGTTGACATTTGGATCTACACTGGACGTCCAATGTACAAATCCTGTGGATACGCGTACGTACTATGTTGGTACATTATATGTACATACAAGGCACGTTTAACGTACGTCCGTGAGTGGGGCTGTGCATACAAGGTGTTCCAAATGTCCTGCGATCGCAGGGGCAACCTTGTCAAATTATTGACGGTTGTTATAAGTTAGGTATATGTGTGCTGTTTAAAAATCCACAATTTGAAATTCCAAGCTCGATTAAAGCTTATTTAAAACAAAATAAAATAAACAGTAAAATAAAATAAACAGTAAAATTAAATTTCCTTTAAAAAAGTATTTTACACATTTTGGTATAAAAGGAACGGTTTCGGATATATTTACAAAAAAGGTAAAAATGAGCTAATTTTACAGCTTTCCCGCCCTCCCTCTCCTGAACCCGAATTTTGGAGAAGACTTTTTACTACATTTAGAGCTAAGAGCGATGAACAACTTTCAGCAATCAGACCTTTTTATTTTTGGAGTTCAAGGTTTGGCCATTTTTTCGTCTAATTTTACTGTACTAAAAAGAGAAAAAGAAAACACGCGCAAACAAGAAGACAAGAAAATGAAATGGGTGGAATGGAACAGCAAAAAATGGAGAATTGGGAAGAAAGGGGGAGTGTATGAAATTTCTAGAGCAACCTCAAAGACGCAAATATACAGTATTTAAATTCAAAAGTGCCCTTTTCCTTTACTTTCTTTACTTCAACAACAGTAATGCAGACGAATATACCACAACAAGGTTATAAACTTTAAACATTTTTCCAAAATTCATATCCAAAGCGAGGACTCTAAAAAATTCTGCTAACGAATGCATAAAAAGTATACATAGGGCATTTTTATGCTACATGTTCAATCGAAAGGAAGGGAATAAAATAGGATAGAATCGTAAAACTACTAAGAGATACTAATACTAAAAGAGGAAAACATTCAACAGGAACCAGATGGACTAATTAGAGCACACCAAATGGACAAGGAACAAAGTGTAAACAGGCAAGTGGATCGACCGGTGCAGAGTCGGAGTATATAATCAACTAGGTACAAAAAAAAATTGGTACACAAAAGACAGGCTCAGAAAGCAAATCTGTCAGAAATACGAACAAAATATCAATTGAAGTACTGCGTAATGTGGAGAACATAAAGAATGTTGAAATAAATGAAATCTAAATTGAAACGGAAGCGATTGTAAGAAATAATGAAAGATGTTAGGATTAAAATAATATAACAAAGGTGGCTGGAATAGAAACATTAACAATGTAGATATAGCAAAAGGGTGAAGAGAAATAGCTATAAAACTGGAATTGCACATTAAATCAATCAAAAACGAAGTGTGACACAACACAAACCATTATACGCGCAGACAATAAATTTATATAATTTTGATTGTACAAAATTTACAGATCCAATGTTTCACACAAAAACCAGTAATGAAGACGTCCTACTAGGACTGATGGACAAGGTATGAAGTGTGGGAACACATACCAATCTTGAAGCAAGGCAAAAGAAAAGAAAATATTGCTCAAAGGTTTTTAGAGGCACGCAGTGGCCCCACCAGAAATATTACAATGGGTGGGCCAACCTGGGAAACAATATGTTTTAGGGTGGGTCATAATTCACTAGACTTGTATTGTGTAACTTTTGTTGGGTATCCATTCTCTCGGGATGCTCGAAATGGAGTAAAATGATGGCTGGAACAAACTTCACAAAACCGTCCCCATAAAATTTGAATTTATTAAGCGCATGTTTCGGCAAAAAGCCATCATCAGGCCTTAAAATGTAATAATCCATCCACGGACTGTACTCACGACGCTTTTCGCAATCTGTTCATAGGAACGCTCATCATTTTTTTTAAGAATGGACCAAGGGAGGGCCGAGTAACACTACGGGCCCACTTGACCTAACCCCTGGCGGCTCAAATGGAGACACGGACAAGGATAACCAATCAAGCAATAAAGGAATTAATTACATGAAATACAGCGGTCCTAACAACTTCACTTCTATGATTAGTGAATGTGAAATGAAGGCCAGTAACTAAGATGCAGAAAATCGATATATGGAAAACAATCACTAAAAAAAGGAGAGCAAAAACGAAAAGAACAAAGACCTAAACTCATGAAGATAAACAAGGGAAGTGAAAAGGCAATAGAGAAGAATGAATGGAAACTGGCCAAGTCTGACGGGGCTCGCAATGCTAATGTATATAGCAGGTACTTCATGGAATTTTTGTCATCTTAAACATTGGTCCATTCAAGGATCCATTACAAAAGCCTAAGTTATTCAATTGAGATAAACATAAGGAACGCTATTGTATACTACAAAAAAAAATCAATCACAATAGAATTATCGTGTTTACTTTAAACAGTAATTTATCACACGCTATCTTAGTCTTTGACCCTCATAATAGAAATGCGTCCTCTGGTATTATTAGCCGATACAAATTATTAATTAGTGTATTTTTATATAACCGACACAGATTTCGTGGAACTGGAATGGATAACTATTTCTGTATAATCCTCTCACGCTTACACTAATTCATAGTGCATGCCTGGCACCAAACGATCCTTTGGGTTAATGTAACAATAAGAGCAAGATGCACTGAAGCAATCATTTAGTTTTTATGATTTCGTACTGGACACAACTGGTTATTGTCGAGGTTGGACGTAGAACAATACATATTTGTATTCCATAGGTATATATTTATTAAAGGATGATACTAAAACTATTAAAGTTGCGTTTCAAAATTAATGGAAACACTTGCATGTTCCAGCGCAAGAGAGAGGATGTTATTATCGACCATTGTCGAGATAAACTACCGGTATTATAATGACGTATTTCTCAATAAATGGAAATACCCCCAAAATATAGTATACACAGTTCAGTCTTACATAAATAATAGCATTCTTTACTCTTTATCTGCGTACACGGCGTAATAATATTAAGTATTGACCAGCTCGATTTCTATTGTATTCAAAATACTAGTAGTTGTAAGAGAACAATATCATTGTGACTTAAATATTAATGTTCTATCTATTTTCAGAACCCATAACAAAACGTGGAGATATGGATGACATACTTATAATATCAGTGAAGCAAAGTCCCGCCGCGAAACTATGGGTGGATTACTTTAATTCGTATTTTCAAAATATATGTAAACAGGCCAGTAGGAAATCGTTCAAGTAAGTGATGGGGGTGGTAAAAGGATCAGTTGCTGTACTGCAATATCCTTCCAGAATATTCCATTTGGGCGCTGAAGAGGTAATTGCAACGAACACGGACGTAAAAATTATTGAGGAGCGGACATCTGGCGTAAAGCTGCAGTTAATAGTCGTATGTCCAAGTCTTTTGGAGATGATAGTAAATAATCCAACGTCCGCAGTAAAGTTAGGAAAGCTTATTTTACCTGACCGCACTCTAGCGTTATTATTAGGTGTAACAGACGACGACCTTACAAATGTACATAAAGAAGGTAAACCCCCTAGTTACTGAACTGTTTTCCTAGTATTGCTTTCAGCACTGCCAACATACACGCAGTGGCAACGGTTAAGCGTTGGTTTAGATCAAGACGAGAATTTTTCTAAGGAATTTCTCAGTACCGCCGTTTCTATACTGTCCAGAGTATGGAAGCAACAAACCTCAATTGCTCCACAACAAAAATCACTGTTCTCAGTGCTTCCCAAAAAAGTTCGCCAGGTAAGCAATTCGCCACCACCGTCTTAGTTTTCATAAATCTGTGGATTTCAGGGACACGGAAGCGTCGTAATCATTTTAACACATCCACTACAACGAGAAGACATTGTAAAGGTGTCCATTGAACGCAACAACGAAATAGTTGAAATAAAATCAGTTAAACGCCGCAATCCGTACACGTTGAAAATTACCATACCTGACAGTTGTACAGAAGTGTCCGCAATCGTACACATTCTGGTTGAAAAGAATGGCAGCATTATCGGTAGCAGCCCAATAAAATGTGAAAGTCGTTTGAGAGAACTGGAACAAATTTTGCGAGCTAACGATAACCCGGTGGAATTTATGTGTCAGGTAAATGTAATAATTCCAAACTCTGCGATACCGACACACGTGTGCTTTTAGGCGTTAGGCTTTAGCCCGGCAGATAAGGAACATATGGACAACTGCCTAGTATATTCGTTTCAGAAAAATTTACCCCCCAATTTCAATGTACTCTTTAATCAATCTTCAATATTCGCTTCTAGCGTATACGCACATCGTCATGGTAAATGCAATAATTTGCAAACTTTAATTATCTAATCAATAATATCTTTAGCAAATGAAGAATACCCAACTTTACTTCACTTTGCTGCCAGGTATGGTTTAGAAAAACTGGCAATGGCTCTTCTTGAGTGTCCCGGAGGTGATGTGGCTTGCGATATCAAAAATTCGTGCGATTTGACTCCTGCTGAAATTGCTCAATACGCCGGTCACAATGATTTGGCACACTTATTAAGCGGATACATGGTACGTAAGGGTGGGTTGCACGAGTTCGAATGTTTAATTTGTGCATTTTTAGAAAATGAACGAGTTTAAAAACGTGTACGAAAAGTTGAAGGAAATGTCTCAGCAGAACAAGCAGCAAATAAATAATGATGGTAAAATTTCAAATTCAAATTCAAATACAAATGCCTTCATTCCAGGAGAGGATGAAGCGGGGTACTTGCAGCCCAATGAAATAAATGGCATCTATAAGACTTGCCCGCCACCAAAACCTCTAAATCCACAGCTTTTGGCATGCCCCGAACATCATCCGGTTAATGGTTACATGGCAATGAATAGTACACCCGGTACGATTGTTACACCACCTTTTAAATAAATATTTATTGAACGTCGAATTTTAGCAAAAATAACAGTCAACTCTCGTCCAGATAGGCAATTACAAAACCTAACTCTAAACTTAAACGACTCCCCCAGCGCATCTAAGGACTCGAGCCCCTCGATTTCGCAAAAAAGTTTTGAGGTTTACGAGGATAAAGTACAAAAGGAACTTGTGGAAATCATTAACGATTTTAAAAACAACGTGCATTCAATATCTCAAGTGGAAAAGTTGGTTGAGGAGTGGAAAAACCGTAATGATGTTCAAAAGTCTTTTAAGGAGAAACAGCAGCAACTAAACGAAATGCGCATGAAATACGACAAAATTCAGCAGGAGATGAAGGCCAGCATGAAAAAAGCTACCCCTTTTGAACGGGTTAAAAAACTATTTAAAGGAAGATCTAAAGATGACTCTAAAGTCGAAAACTCTATATCCGTTTCTACACCTGCAACCACTCCTACCTCAAGCATACCGTTTACCTCCACCCAAAATAATCGACCAATCAGCAGCTTAAGCCTTCAAAGTACTTCAAGTAAGTAAATACCATAAAATGGACATATCCAAAATGTATACTTTGTGATCTAGGTTCTGGATCATCTGGACGTATGAGCACTATTAGTGGTTGTAGTATGGGTGATAGTGGGACTCATTCCGATCACGAAGAAAGAAAGGTATTCAACGTCTTGGAAGGTCATTTTTCTTTAGTTTGATTAATTTCAGAATATTTTGGGGCAATCTCATGATGACGACTTTCGAAATGATCTAAATAAAGCCATCATCAACTTGAACTACACTGTACCTCCACCTCCGAGGCCATTTCACCCTCTTAATAAATATTCAGCTAAAAATACTTTCCCTACGATAGAGGTAAGCGACTCCCACTCATACCGTTCAATCTAGCAATACATTTTTGCAGGAACGTCCACCCCAGCCAACACCACGACCTCCCTGTGCAACAGACGACATGTATTACATCCAATTTCCACCGTCCGGTTTACCCGTTAATGGTATGTCAGTTAATGCTTGGTTCATTTGTGTTTTATGGCATATTTTTAGGATTGTTACATGAAAGTTCACAGGTAGGCGTTAACAAAGGTGTTGATGTTACCACTAATGGTGATTGCACAAACGCTCAACCCTTACGTGGATCGCCACAAACTGACGAATTTCATGAATACATGAATTATACGCCACCCGCGAATGAGTCAGTAAATAACGTGAATAGTTAATTGTTGTTTGACGTTGCATTCGTATTTGCATTTAATAGTTGTAATCATAGTTGTACTATTAATTTATTTTTTATATCACCACGTAATTTATTTCAAAAGTATGTATTCTTGTATTCAATTTTTATATATTTGTACAGGTAATAATAAATCACGTATTAGTACTCATTTCATATCAAGTAAACAAGCAAATCCACTGGGCATAATTTGGCAGGTTATTAAAATTTTAAATATCTTATATTGGAACTAGAAAAAATGCGACATAATAGTAAGTGTTTTCAGATCATCTGCTGAAGAAAATTGTAAGACATGCTATGTTTTCTTATTTACAATTTACCTATTTCTGATGCAAAATAATTCAGGGCCCGGTTGTACAATGTCCGGTTAAACTTCAGTTTGGTTTAACCGACAGATTTGAGAAATACGATTGGCCAGCTTGTGAAATATTAGCCAATCAAATCCTTTAACCCACAATTCAACTATAAACTGAAGTTTAAACTGACATTATACAACCGGGCCTAAGAGGCAACAAATTATAAAAGCAATCGATTTCAAATAAACATTTATTAAATCTCGTTTGGAGTTCTAAATGAATACATTTTAAAGGTAAAAATCATCAAAAGATATTTTCCTCTTCCTACGCTACCTATGGGTTGATCTGGAGCAAGGTTAGTTTTTGTAATACAAGGTCTCATTTTTTGTCCAACACGCATCTCGGAGTCGGATTAAGCTTTTTTTAAATTCAACATTTGTGTTGGAAAAACTACGTAAAAGAAATATGTGAGGACATTTCTTATTAGCATATCAATATCATGGTCATATTTCGTCAAATGACATGTTATTTCCGCGTTAAAATCGGCAGATTTTTCATACAAAGCAAGATTGTACTCTAGAAAAACGCATTGTACCTAACTGATCGGTAGGGTATTATAAATTTGGACGATGGGATATTTCTTTTAGTACACCTAATCCTAATAGTAAACCTTCCAGACGAAGGTAACTTGCTGACCGGTTTATAACCATTTTACTAGTACTGTTAACAGTTTTAGGTACTTCACTCCTCGAAGTCTGTTTAAAATAAATAAAAATGGAAAGTAAGAGGAATGTCGGTGCCAAACTTTGCACAACTAGAGGGCATAAGGTAATTATATACAGAAAACCTGCATCACTAGGTGGTCCAGGAGAAGTAATTTCCACAAACAGCACGCCAGGAAAAAATCTTCTTTCTGGATAATTTAAATTGATAAGCTAGCATTCGCGCTTAAGAAATACGTGGTATAAAAGGCAAAAGGAAAATGACAGAAGAACGCTCGCAATCAATCCTCAAAGGTCGTGTGCAAAGCTGTTTGCCAAAGAAGTAAGTAATATCACAGATTATATTTAAATCTGTGCTAATATCTTTAGTTCAACTGGACAGATTGAGTTAACTTGCCTAAATCATCATGGAACGAGATAAAGTACCTAGGTATTTGGTTCGAGATGATCGTATACAGCAAACTTCGTGAACCGGCATCTAAAAATAAATAAGTCGGGTTATGAATTTTGGCAAAAATTTTGAAAATGATTCTATGAGTATCTTCCATACGAATTGCAGTTGACTTTTGGTCTGGACTCGTGATAAATGTAAACATGAATACTTTTGTCCTTGAGACAACTAAATTGGCTGTAATTTCGGGTCGAATGGATAAATCAGGAATCACATAAGTACGGATCAAAAAACGGAAATGTTTTCCTGTCTATTAATTCTTCCCCCTACATTTGCAACTGAATTAGCAACACTAACAGCAAAACTACAAAAGTTAGAATTCTGGGTTAGCTCCGATTTATACTGAGTACGCAAAACGCCCCATTTCATGCAAAGCAATTTTTTTGCAATTTAGGATGCGTGCACTATAAACACAGCTTACCCTACTGTATGGTATACAGTGCTATTCATTAGAAGTAGACATAAGACATAGGGATTTATGTGTATTGTTTTTCCCTATGTCTACTTTTAAATGACAAAGGAGCGTAAAAGATTAGTACATTATACATCAAGGGAGAGAAATGCATTATTTTTCCCGCGGTGCGATTTGTAGCCAGAGGGCGAAGCGAAGCGGAGCCCGAGGGCTACAAAGCACCAAGGGAAAATGGCATTTCGCTCCAGAGGTGTATATACTATTTTTTGCATTCGCGTCGACGTTTACCTATACTCTTTAAATGAATTGATGGTTCTTTGAAGATTATAACCACATATTAATCAGGTTAGTGGAGAATTAAGTATAACCGTGGCAACCAATAAATTAAAATTTAATCATGTTAGTCGAGAATTCAGATAAACCATGGCAACAGATAAACAAACAATGTTTGCTGTTGAAAAAGTGCGTGAATTAAAATGGAAGTTGCGGGTTGTTCTGAAGAACCTTATGAAATTACAAACGCCGCTAACGCTGCTGTTGTGAATTTACTACCTGATAAGTCGAAAAAGTTGTATGAAGCAGCATATAAAGGTTTTAAAGACTGGTGCATAGAAAAAGATGTCGCGACCGTCACCGACAATGTTATGTTGGTTTACTTTAGCGAAAAAGCCAAAAAGTACAAATGTTCAACGGTATGGGCACAATATTCCATGGTGAGGTCTTGTATGCTCATTTACGACAATGTTGACATCAACAAATTTCCAAAATTGATATCATTTTTAAAAAGGAATTCTGATGGATATTCTCCGAAAAAATCGAAAATATTTAATAGAGAAGAGGTGGAAAAATTCTTGCTTGAAGCTGACGATGATACCCATCTTATGCGAAAGGTAAAATTGCGTTTACTTAACGTATTAAACATTGCTAACCATTTCCTCTTTAGGTTGCGTTGAGTTGGCATGTCGCACTGACGAATTGGTCAATATGACACTGGATAACGTTGAAGATGTGGGGTCTTCTTTCATAATTACCCTGCCACATACAAAAAACAAAACATCCAGAACGTTCGTTATAGCGAGTAATGAAGGCGGTAAAGTGGATTTTCTTCAGATAATTCGCAAATACACGTCCCTTCGACCTGGAACTAACCATGGACGATTTTTTGTTTTCTACAAGAACGGAAAATGTACTCAGCCGGTTGGGAAAAACACGCTTGGCAAGGTGCCAAATATGATCGCCAATTACTTAAAATTACCAAACCCAGAACTCTATACGGGGCACTGCATGAGGCGTTCCTCCACCACTCTATTGGCGGATGCTGGAGCTGACATCACCACTATAAAACGGCATGGTGGGTGGAAGTCCACCACAGTCGCGGAAAGCTACATTGAGAACTCTGTGGCCAACAAAACGAAGATTGCAAATCAGATTATTCAAGGTAGCACTACCTCAAATGTCAATATAACATCGGGAGCCAGTTCTGATTCGAATCAATTGATTAATAAAATTCCAGCGGTAAATTTTACAAAATGTGAAAATATAACGTTTAATTTAAATATAAACAATGTACCTTTTTAAGTTTGAGTTAATATAACCTATATAAATATCAGGGAGTTTTCATTATCATTATTTCTCAAGGGACTGAAATGCAATTTCTGTCCCTGTTTTGTGATCATAGAAACGGATTTTTACCCTCGCGAGTGCAAAAACATTTTTTCTGTTTAGCCAAAACAACAATATTCAAACTAATTAATATGACAGCCAGATGTTTATTCTTTTTAAAAAGTTCAGAAGAGATTTTGTCTTTTAAAAGTAGACATAAGGAAAAACCCACCTAAATTCTAATTTCTACTTCTTAATAAATATTTTTGCGCGATCGGTCATTTCTGACTATTTACCATGGGTGTTTCCATGACAGTACGTAGAATTTACCAGTTGCTATGATTACGACGACGCCAAAATTACTTACCGATCTAAAAACAGAACAACAAAAATACTTACCGACGCCTTTTTAAAAATCAACAGTCTTACATTACATTTAATCTTTAATTATTGTTAGGTACATTAATCGTACAATTTGTGCTGTTGTTTCCTATAGCAAGACGCTCATAAAGTTATAAAGGATGTGCAAAGCTAGTAAACTACATCAGACACATGCACATTTTTATGGAATTATTAATTTCAATTTTGACATTTAAACTGGTTGCCTAGTGATGTACACCATACCACTTTGATCATTTCGATTTATTCTGCTCGTTCATTTCTTAGTGCATAGTTATACCTATTGGTTGGATAATTTTAATTTCGATCGCGCAAAAAATGTTATAAGCACGTCGAACGTTAAGGGTTACCGTTCTCAGACAATAATATTGGAGTCGTCGCTTCGCTCCTCCTCCAAACAATTGTCTTCGAACGGTAAAAATCCCTTACCGTTCTCCATACTTAATATACTATACTGTATAACCTGTTTTATGCTTCATGGTACTCTAAAACACAATTGAATTTGTAACTTTCAGGTAGGAGTCCCGAACTCTAATTAATGAATAAAAAAGAAACTATTTGGCTTATGTAAGGAAGGACCGTTACAAGACCATTTTGTACGTAAAACCGTAGCGATCGTAGATCTTTCATAATTTCAATAGTTTGGTACTTATTTGTTGCTGTTTTTTGCCCCAAAAAATTTAGGGTTCATAGAATTTATGTCGAAGGTTTATATTTTCGGGAGAACTTCCCGGATCAAAAAATTTTATTAAAGGAATCTATTTCGAAGAATTGCATTTTCGAAGAACTTTTTGAATTAAAGAATTGTATTCGCAGAATTATTTTCGTAATATTTACTTTCGAAGAATCGTTTTAGAAGAATTTTCCTGCCATACCTTATAGTATAGGTTTCTGCAAAACCAAATATCTCTTTTTGACTGTTCCTACTTCCTTGATCTGCACATACTCTTTACCAGAAGGTAATATTAATATTGCTGTGTGCACTGGTCCGTAGGCCAGAAGGACCGTACACAAAACATCAAAACAAATAACCGGCACAAAACTTCTCCCCAGCACAGAGGAGTTTCGACTCTGCTCTCAGTTAACCTAATGTTAACCTCTAACAGATAGTGGGTCAAACCAAATACCTACCTTAAACTCCAAACTGAACTTCAAACTTTTGAATAATTAAAATGAACCTTGGGCAAGCATCCAATGAAAACAGAGGTAAATTAGAAAAGACGTCGTTGTGAATGAAACACACGGAAAATTAATGTGACAATTACAAAA